ACTGACGCGATCTACATGATACCATGTAAAGACGGTTCAAAGCAATACATAGGACAAACATCTAAGAAAATTGAAACAAGACTCACAGAACAGAATAACGTCATAAAACGACGAGATCCAAACTAACTACCGGCAGAGCATACCTATGGAAACAACCACACATTTCACTGGACAGTAACTGAAGTACTCGGACGCGCACGAACTAAACATGCACGCGAATTTAAAGAAGCTTGGTACACTAAAGACAACGACACAATAAACAGACATATCGACATACGCATCCTATACTCACAACTAAAGAATGGATTACCAATTTTAAAACTTATATATATATATATCTATATAGGAAGTTTTCATTTATTTGAATCTCCGTTATTACAGTGCTCGATACTTAGAGCAGAGCATAAATATTGATAGAAGAAGAAAATACACAAAAACTACAATTTCATCCCAACAAGCCTGTTTCGTGATTTCTCACTCTTCAGATGATAATATTAAATAAATACAAAAGCACGTGCTAACTATATATATATGAGGAAGTTAGGATAAAAATTAAGGTAGAATTACATAAAAAGCTAGGTGTACAATTACAAATTAGATAAAAGTGCCTTGTGTCCATGGCGACAAGAGGAGACAAGTTCGTTACGTTTGTTGAGTATATATATGTGTAAATATCCAAGGATTGCCTGTTAGACGGCATGACTGTTAGTGGAGCATTAATTTAATGGGGGACTCATGTATTCAGATGTGTTTGATTGATTTCTTTTAAAACTAAATTTCTTTAAAACAATCGGTTTCATGCAACAGAATATATGGGTAAACACCCAATACCCAAATTAGCGTTAAATAATGCGTCTATAAACAACTAGTCCATGATGTAATGCTAATTTTTCATTTAGATGTAAATTCTTATATAAAAAGCAAACTATGTTTCAATGATTTTGTTAAAGCGAGGATAGATATCAATTTTTTAAAATCATTTCTAAAAAAAGATTTGCATATACAGTGCATTGTCACATAAGTTAAGCAAGTTAGCCCCCCGTCATAGACATTATTCCTTCTTTCGGGGAATTCTTGTCGCCAAACTGGTAGTATGGTAAAAATTCCATTTTAATCATTTTCTTCATTTTTACGTAACAGGAAACAAAAATGGAAGTAGTTGATATGACCGAAACATATTGTGAATACGGTAAGTATAGCAGAAATGTTTACTTTATAGTTTTATATAGGGAAGTGTTGTTAGAGAGTAACACTAGGGCGTTTCTAGTATGTGCTAATTAAAGTCTTACTGCTTTTTTCTGTTTCATTTGAACATCTGTTGTAATAAATTAAAATATGATAACATATTCCCTCATAAACTGTCCAAATCAAGTGTGCTTTAAATATTCGTTTATCTTTATTCTCAAGTCAACGTGTATGAGTTATTTGTATATTTTTTCAGTGTTTTAGCTAACCAAGAAATTTTATCCTGCAATATAAATTGTTTTGTGTTCACTCAGTGCAGTAAGAACAATCTACTAAACAATCAAAGAAATAAAAATGTTCTAAAATTTACATAGCAGTACGGCAGTTCTAAAATTTGCCTGACTGAGCAGGCCACAGCTTTTTCTTGCTCACGCTTAGCGACTTTAAAGATTGAAAGTAATCAAGTTTTGTGAAAAATAAAAATCTAGAGTGCTCTAAAAGCATCTAATCATTCTATGTTAATGCTGACTTTTAATCCATCAGGATTCATTGTTTTATGCATTATGTGACTATAATATTTTATTTAGGGCCCATTCACACTAACACTTTAAATCGATTCGAAATCAATTCGAGTCCATATGAGGGCTAAAGTGAACACTTGTAAGTGATGCGGAAACAAATTCGATCCGAACTATTTTGGGCCACTTGAGAAGTTGGTCTCTAATCGGATTAGTTTAGTCTGCATGATAATGTGAACATGCAACACGAAAAGAATCGGATCAATCTTGATCAATTACGTGTTTTTAGCTTTGTTACCCAACTTTTCATGCGATCACACATATCACGTGATTCTTTCTACTGTGTTTGCTTGCAGCAATATTTTACAATTCAAAAAGTAACGCGATGCGACGCTTTGCATTCTTTTGTAAGTATTGCAGCATTTTTTGTATTATACTTGATCTTTTTGCTGATTTTTTACGTTCTTTTGGTATTCCCGTAAAAGTATGCCCATTGCAGTAATCTCCGCCATTTGTTTTCGTTAAATATTGTTATTATCAAAGATTCAAAGATGGTCTAGGAAAGGCGCCAAATTTTATGTCGATCATGTGAAGCAAATGCAAATAGTAATTTTATAAAAAATATAGATGCTAAAGTATGTACCCACAATACCCTATAATTTGACTAAAATACCTGCTAATTAATATCTATCCTATTGAGTTTCTTATGATACTATGTTATCAAGCGAAAAATAATGCGGATAAAACTTTAACTGTGAACACTTGTGTTTTTTTCCTTTTAAAAAGAATCGAATTCGAAACAACTAATTTGAGTAGCAAACTAATTAAGTGCGAATTACCATTAGTCCTAGGATGAGGGTTACTTAAAAATATATTTTTTGTATATATCATTGAACTAAAGTACATGGAACGCAACCTCAAGCAAATAATTAAAGACATATCTTACGCCAGACACGCGAGATTTTACCCCAGACACGCGTGTTTTGTGTTTCGAGATTCTCTCTCGGAGTATTACATGATTGACTACAAACGCGTGTCTGGGGTAAAATCACGGCTTAAAAAAATTATAATGGTTTTGTATTACAGGTAGTGATCCCTGTATTTTAGTTCAATGGGATATATTAATGTTGTTACCAGGTTTTTGTGATATTTTTTTACATGCTTAATTTTTTTATTGTGTAACCAACATATAAATTTTTGCGACAAATATTTGAATAAGGTAAATTACGGTAATCATACGTAGTTCACAACAATTTTGATTAAAGTGGCAAATTAACAAAGATCATTCAATAAGAATAATAATTTAACTAAGAATTAGTGTAATGTCCTAGTTAATTGCTAGTCAAATAAAAGGACTTCATGCAGCAAAACCATGGAATATGTCACACGAACGTATGATGTAAAGAGACATTGTTATGTATAGTAATATAAAGAATGTCGTGTGATGTTCTGATTTAACAAGTTACTCTTTGTTACCTAATCTTAAAAAAATCAGTGACTATTTTGTTCAATGCGTATAACCAATTTCTTTCAATCATAATTCAGGAGAAGGAGGAGGAGGTGATGAAGAGGAGGTAATTTTTTTATTACTGATTTATCAAAGCAGCCTGCTTTCTGTAGTAGTGAAATTTAAGACGATTTAAATTTTTTAATCGCTCAATTTAACTTTTGCGATAATGTAGGTCTTGTTATGATTTAATTTATATACGTATATATATCACAAGTCTTTTCTATGTTGGTATACGAATCAGTCATTTTCTTCCATAAACTGATATAAAAGTTTCATGTATAATATCATCATAAACTTTGCATGTTGTTGCAAAAAGAAAACATTCCACTATATGATAAAAGCAAAAAATGTAGAAATTTTACACACAAATCTGTTTATAAAATAATAAGTGGAAAATATTTGCAAAAAGTGTAATGAAATTATTATTGTACGCGTAGTTTACTATATCTTTACAGGATCAACAAAAAATCGTTCGTGCAATAAATAATGTTTTAAATTTTTGTTAGTTCATAATTTTTCTTGCAAGACCGAATGCAGCGTTTTGTATCTACTAATTTTCTTATTATTGAAGTTAAACGAGCATAGTTTTAAGTATTATTGCACAAATTGATGCATTAATTATTTTTATAATTCTTTACGTAACAGGCCACAAATAATATGCGCCATGTGATGGACATGGACATGACGAATTGTGATGGTAAAAAATCTATTTTAATCATTTTCTCCATTTTTCCTGCAGGCTACAAATAATAAAACGGTCGATATGATCGAAACATTTTGTGAATACGGTAAGTATAGCAAACATGTTCACTTTATAGTTGTAATAAGCAAGCTGTATTGTAGAGTATTTTATTTATATTTAACATTAAAGTGATGTCATGTTTTCAACGATTAGCTCGTTTCTAGTAATGTGCTATAGTTTTACCGTTTTTTTCCATATAAGTTAATCACTCGTTGTAATGAATTCGAATACATTGATATATTCCGTCTTAAAATCTCTTATCAATTGTAATTTTTTGAATATACATTTATGTTAACTCTCATGACTACGTCTCTGAGTTATTTGTATTGTTTTTAGTGTTGTAGCCATTGATCTGATAATAGACTTTATATAGCTTCTATATGTACCAAAAGTAAAGCCTAATTATATATGCGGAATTCGTTTCTGTTTACCCATTTGAGATACAATTGCTGTAGAAATATATGGCTGATAACGTTTACAAACAAATATTTTAAAATATTCAAGACATTTCGCGACCTTGTTCTTATGTCAAATATACGTCATAGATGAAACAAGTTATGTAAATCAATGTGACATCAAAATAATCCCGATATGTGAAAAATACCGGCCTTCGTAATCATTTGAAAATTGCTCGTCCAGGAAGACATGAATTTGACCCCTCATTGCCAAGATATGACAATTCACAGCTAGGTTGCTAAGTTCAGAGGCAGTAATGATCTAGAATAATATTCAATGCTTAAAATAATATTAATATTATGCATACACAGACATAAAATTGTCTGTGTATGAGTGCTGAATGCGGATGTTTTTTAATAATCAGTGATTCAATAACCGAGGAATAATCATTTTCATGTTATTCTTCGGTTGTAATGTGCCGTGTATTTTAGATTTGGAAGAAATGCGATATAAGTTAGATAAACTTGAAATAACCATTGAATCGACGTCACAAGAAAAGGTCCCTTTTTTTATTTTTTTTTTTACGTTATTTTTGTATAATTCCCATTAAACGTCTTGTTTTTTGTTAAAGGACGATGTATATGAAGAGATGGAAAAACTAAAAATTGAATTAGAACGTGAGACTGCAGAGAAGAACGAGGCATATAAAAGAATACAGGAGCTTGACGGCAAAGTTAACAGTGCTGCCATTCTTGTAAAGCAATTGTTAATGTTTTATGATATCATATTTTTGTTTCATGTGGAGATTTTTTTATTTACTAGCTTGAAGCTCACAAAAAAGTCTTGGAAAAACTTAAAGAGATCGTCGAAAAATCTGGTGGGAAGATTCCTGAAGACTGTAATGTTGAGCATTTTGTCAAGAATAGTACAAGTGCCCCACCGGAAATTCCTAATCTTGAAGCACATGCTGGTCCGCCTCCCCCTTCTCCGTTAGCTGGATTACTTACTTCTGGAGTACCACCACCTCCTAGCGGACCATCACCACCACAACCTTTATCAGGAGTGCCACCATCACCTCCACCTTTCGGGGGTGCAATACCAGGTGACATTTTTATTTGCGTAAAATAATTTTGATTATTGTGATGTTCTGAACTGAACAACTATCATTTGCTCTCTCTTGTTTTTCAAGGTCCACTACCTCCCCCAGGTGCCCCTGGCCTACCAGGCGCATTACAGGGAAAGGGAAAGAGAAATGTACCAAAGCCTTCGCAACCTTTGAAATCATTTAACTGGTCAAAACTGCCTGATGTAAGTGAAGTGTTATGTTAGGCATTGACATTGTCAGCGATGTCATTCAGTAACAATGTATATTGCCATGCATGTCTCTTTATGTACAAAATTTTCATTTCTAGACCAAAATAAAAGGAACAGTTTGGACGGTAATAGACGACTCGAAGGTACCGATTTTTTGTTCAGTTTCGAATGTTTTCAAAGCAATACTTTCTTGAAGGTTTTCATTCAATTTATTTAATTTTTGCTTGATCAGATTCATGAAATCATGGATTTTAACGACTTTGATCGCATGTTCTCGGCATATCAAAAATCTAAAAATGACCAGGTACATTTTGTGTTCGTTTTACACTTTCTTCAATGGTCTATATCCTTTGTTGAGAGCAATTTTAATTGTTCATTTTAGAAAGACGGTGGTGCAGAAGCTTGTGTGGCTCCGGAAACAAATGGCAAAGAATTGTCATTCGTAGATAGTAGAAAAGCCGAGGTTCCATGATGCTATCAAATATGTTGAGTTGAGAAGTTGTTTTTGCATTCAAATTTGCATCGAGATCTTGTTTTTGTTTAGAACTGTCAAATTTTGTTATCAAAACTGAAAACTTCTAACGAACAGTTTGCGCGAGCTGTTCTCACCATGGATAGGGATGGCGAATTATCTGTTGAAATGCTTGAACAGGTAAAATTTCACTTCGACTTCTTACATAGGAATTAAACATTTTTACTAACGAATCTATCTTCATCCTCTTTGTTTAGCTCTTAAAGCTCGTACCCACTACCCAAGAAAAAAATCTGCTCGATGATCATAGTAAGGAGAAAGAACAGTTTGCCAAAGCAGACAGATTTTTATACGAAATGTCCAAGTATGTCGTATATGTGAAGTGACTGCTTTAATTTCGTGTACCAAACGTACAAATCTTTTTTGCTTTTAGAATCAACCGTTACGAACAACGATTGGCAACTTTGTTTTACGTCAAACGTTTCCCAGAACGAATGGGCGATATAAAACAAAAGTTAAAGGTAAAAGATCATAGATTTTTGGGAGGAATTCCAATCTCCATACTTACATAAATAATAGCAAACGCAATTAGAATTTGTTTTAGATGCAGCAAACTTTCAAAGAAATTATCTCCAATTATGAAGTAGGAGTAAAATAGTTTAAAAAAATAAATCTGACATGACACGGTGACATCCTCAAAGCACCTTTTGAAATCTTATCCGAACGATAACAAGCCGTGCATTTCTTGAAAAGATGTCATTTTATTGTTTGAAGTAAATGTCTGTTGTACGTGACTACAATACCTTTATTTCAACAGCTGTGATAGAAGCGTCTAAGCAAGTGTTCCGCAGCAGAAAATTCCGTGATTTACTGGAAGTTGTATTGGCCTTTGGGAATTATATGAATCGTGGAGAAAGAGGAAACGCTACAGCGTTTAAAATTGCCAGTATCAATAAGATCATGGACACAAAATCGAGTTCGAACAGCAAAATTAATCTTTTAGATTACTTGGTCATGCTTTTGGATCAAAAGGTTAGTGTGGAAGAATTTATACTTTAGATTCACTTTAGATTCACATTAAAAAATTAGTTTTGATTGTCTCGTCTTGGGTTCTTGCAGTTTCCGGCCGTACTGCAGCTTGAGGAAGAAATGGGAGATGTTAGGACAGCTGCTAATGTCAGGTGAGGATAGAATGGGATCATAAATTATGGATTACCATCATTGATAGGAAAGATTGCTTGCTCCAACGACATTTTTTCCAGTCTTCTAGAGTTACAAAAAGACGTAAAGAAATTCAAAATAGAACTCAAAACAGTTGAAAAGGTTTGTAATTTGTCCTTAAAAAAATGTAAATGTCTTTAACTTACAACTGCTCCAATTTTTCTTACAGGAGTATGATTATCAGTGTAAAAATAAGGATAAATTATCTGGTGATAATTTCGTTAAAGAAACTGGAACTTTTCTCACAGCTGCACGAGCGTCGTTCAATGAACTTGATGATTCCTTGAAGGAGATGAAAACAAGAGTGAGAATTTTCATTTAGTTTAACCTTCGGCCATGAAAAAGGACACATTAAATATGTTTCTACTTTTAGTACGAGAAATCTGTTTCGGCGTTTGGTGAACAACCGAAGACCATTACCTCGAAAAATTTCTTTGGCATTTTTTACACGTTTTTAGTATCTTTTGCCGTAAGTCTCTTTTTGTTGTTTTAGTTCTGTTCAACGCATGCGCAGTAGATATAAAATAACGTTAAATTGACAGAACTGAGGCGAAGAATGAGAATGAAAAACGAAAGAAAAAGAAACTAGAGGAGGAAAAAAAAGCGAAAGATGAAGCTTAGGTTAGAAACAGTGGAAGTGTCCTTTTATACATTGAAGAGGGAGCTATCATAACGATTTCAGGGTAGACATGGGCGTCATTCCTGCAATAATAGGGAGGGACCATATTCATATATTCGGTTGTGCCAGGCTCATTTCTTTTGAAAATGAAATTGTTTTGAAAAGAACTTAGACAAGCATAGCAGAATATATGAATATGGTCCACCCTTCAATTAAGACAGGATTGACGCCCATGAGGGTGGATGATTTTGTCATGTGTTTTCAAGCTATAGTCTCTGGCCATAGGTCTGACATACTGTATTTTGTGGCTTACAACCGACGATTTGGTTTGATTCAATAATTAGAAATGTTAAAGAACAACTTTGAAAACATCGCATTTTCAGTACATGTTGGTACACGTTGTGATTGTACATGCAGACTTGCGCAGTCCTAAAAAAGGACTTGTAATGTTGGTATTAACTTCCGTTTCAATGTCTTAGTGTTAAACATCGCTGGTCATTTTGACTCTGAAAGACTGCACTAACTACACTAACTCTCGCTTGTCTCACTTGTCTCACTTCCGTTCCACTCATGTTTTCTATATTGTTCCTTATCGTCCCCGACGTACTCGAATGTACAATTGAAACCCAGGTTGGCTCAGCAAACTGAGTCATGAATAAATATCTATTTTTGTAATTTAGGACCTTGAGCAAGTTGCCTTAACTTTGTTAAAAACTGAAATGAAATTCATAAAGGTCTGATGCTTATAAATTCAAATATTTAGAGTAATCTCTGCTTTGTTTATCGTAAAATCATTCCCAAAATTCCCAACGTGAAAAAATCATATTAGTGAGTTGCTTCTTTTTTAAGGAACAAATACTATTTATGCCACTTTAGCAGTCTAAGCTTGTTATTAAAATTACATAAAAAAGGCAGTTACAGTATTTTTCACAATGTACTTGCTTTTTAAAGCATTTTATAGTGTATATGTTTGTAAATATTGAGCATTTTCATTTAGATATGTTTACGCAGAACTTTGTTCTTAGGTCTGAGAGAGTAAATATCGAACAACAACCTCGTTTTGCTCTAAAATTGCAAAATACTGTTTTTCTCCAGATTGTGACTTTGATACCTAAATTAGCGTATTTATGGAAAGCTGTGTATGGTTTGCTTTCATTCAAATACAAAAGTTACTGGTACCAGTTACATATGAAAGTTATTTGACCTAGAAAATGTGAAAAATCACTGTGTGATTTTTAACATGTGAAAAAACATCTTAAAATCTGTCTTTGTGCAAATACACAAAGTAAATGTAAGAATTCATTGTGTGTAAAAGATATCGAGCTCAAATCAGCTTGATAAAGGCGTTATTTGATCTATAGATTAATTGTACATTACATCATTTTATTTGGCAAAAAAGTTATTCCATTATCTTAGGAAGAAAAGTATGTTCAGAATCTTTTTTATCTCTAATTGTCGGAAATTATGTAAATAAATTATGATTGTTATTTGAGACTAGGAACTTATCGTTAAAGCGGAATAAGGAACTTATGATTATTGAGTATTTTATAAGGGTCAAATTAAGACGGCATTGTCTTTTGTTGATGCCTGTGAACAAGTAAGGAGCATGAATTGGAATTGACGTATAACTTTGACTAGAAATTTAAATTGATGACATTTGAGAGTTGTTTTTGACTGCGCGCTAGCTTTAGATAGTATACAGTCCCATAGAGAACCGGCGGACGCATAACTGCTTTGTGCTAACGTGCAAAGGAGAAATTTGCTACACCAAGAACTAAGGTACCTGTACGTACATCGCTGCTTTTTATCACAGAAACATATTTTGCAATTGTCAGTACAAATTTTAAAAAACTCAGTCTGCAGTTTATTCAGTTGAAAAAATAGTAAATTGGATATGTGTCCAACTTTACGGAATCAAAACTTTGAAATAAATTGTAGAATCCCAAGATAAAGAACAATGAAAAATACATCAATTTATGAAAAAGATATCGCGTGTACTTTTAAGTTGTCATGTCTTTTATGAAAAGAATTTTTGTAAAGGAAAAAGCCACAAATTGACAACAAAAAATCCCGTTTTCGGTCCATGCCTCGCGAGACCCCGAGATAATTGAGAACTAGACGTTAATTAAGGGAAATAGATAATCGTTGTTTTCCATGAGGCCCATGGATGGTTTGCTCGTGATACATGAGAAACAGTAAGTATAAAACGTTTAAGGTCTTCTTAACTTATAAGTGCCAAAAACGGCACAGTGTCAAAAGAAGTTAATTGAAACGTTGCTTGATTTATTTAATAAGAAGAACTTTTGTAAACAAAAAGATAGAACTCAAAAGCAAAAACCCCCGTTTTCGGTCCATGCTTCCCGATACCTTCTTAAGCGTAAGGCACTAGAACGCTGCATGTTAACGTTTCGGTAGAAGATTTCGGCCCCTTCCACGCTATCCTACTTGGGGATGTCAATAGCAAGCTTCCGCCCATCAGACCCCGAGATCACCTGCGATAGGCTTTGCTCGGGGTACGCAGGGAGAGTGCGGTCGCGACCCGAAACGTCTGGACCCCTAAGCCACTGCATACATATCGCACCCAGCTTCCACTGCTAGTTGACATATATTAAACATATATTTAGCTTTATATTTATATACATAAATTCAAAGCCTTACGATAGTTGTGGTATTATTGAAGTCACTACTGCGCATGCCCTGACGATTTCTTTAATAATTTGCGACTAAGTGAGCTAAATGCCACAACTTTAGTGCAAGTACATATGGTTAGTCGTTGCCATGACTATAAACAGTTAGTGGAGTGTACTGCGCATGCGCTAAAGCACTGCGGATGATTTCTTTATTAATTTGTTAGTAAGCATGCTATTTACGTCAAAATCGGTGCTAGTTGATGGAGTGTGGATGCAGTTGGTCGTTGCCATGACCATCAACTTGGGCAGTTGGTCAGGTTGAGTGCGCATGCGCAGCTGATTCATCTGAAAATTTGTGACTGAGCGAGCTAATCCTCGATAGTTGGTACTGGTACATACAGTTAGTCGCTGCTATGAACATGAACATGTCGTGGTCTTGTCGAATTTTTCACTAGTGGTTTAAAAAATTGTCTTTCGTTAAAGCGGTTTGCGAGTTCTCAACCGATTTAGCCAATAATTTACTTAAACTAAGACCTCGTTTACATTGCACCGGATTGTTACCAAGGAAGGTTTAATTTTCTATGTGTTAAAAGTCGGTGATAACGTCCAATATCAGAGACACAATTAAATAGATTGAATCTATCAACTCAATAAGAATTTAATCCAACCAGTTACCCTTTAAAGCAAATGAAGATGTTGTGATGAGCAAATCCGGTATAGCGCAAACGCAGCTTAAATGAAAGAAGGCAACTGCGTGTCTGAAAAATATAGTGACGACTGTTTGCATTGAAAGACAGTTTAATGAATAAACACTCATATATAAACATTTTGTGATTAAACTGTTACAATTCGACTTACAGCTAAAATTATTCAACGTGGAATTATATCCCTCGTCATATTTATCATTTTTTTAACAGTTCATCATCGATTCACACATTATACAGGCAAGCATAAAAACAATCGCGTCATCCTTAGCCAAAGTCTCCAGTCCTTACAAATAATGAAAACTAATGAAACAGATTGAGAAAAGGACAAAATGATAAGGATCTGGAACTTACATTAATGTGCTATTTCTGCACTGGTTTTCAGATGACATAATTTGTTGTGATTTGAGTAAGTTCCTTTGTGGCAAGTAATCAGTAAAATGCTGTTTTAGTTGGCTGGAAGTGTTTCAAATCTGGTTTTTAAAAGAATTCGGCAATCGTATCATCCATAAAAACCAATTTATTGATAATCATGATTTGTGTTTTCATACTGCACAACAATGAAACACAACAAACTACGACAAAGTATGTCATGTGAAAACAAGACCTATCGCATGTTTCTCTGTTGTGCATAAACATTGGATTCGTCTACAACAATTTGTGGGGTTCTTCAGTTTATCCTAAAGAGTCATGAAAGGTGATGATCTTTCCGCTGATTCCGTAGATGAATACTCTGTTTTATTATCCTCAAGTCTATCAGCATCTCTCATAACAAAATCATGTGGCGTAAACATATTTCCTTGAAAGTTTGTGTGCTTTGAAAATTCACGGGAAATTTCATCTTCATTTTGTTGCCTAGATAATATGACAAATTCGTCATGTAAGCCTGACTCAAGGCGCCCAAACAGAACCCATCCTATCCATCAGGGGCGGATCCAGGCTGGTGCAACTCATGCGAGTGCATCAATCATAAAATTGAATAGTTAATCTTTCACAACATATTATAACTTACAATCAATACGAGCAAAATGCAAGAAATATATCAGATTGGAACGTTTATAGTTTCTAAATGCTTCAAATACCTTAACACTGACAATATATTGACAACAAATGTACATTGATGATTGAGAAATATTGTTAAAAACCTTCGTCGATTGTTTACATGTGAGTATCCTTTTGATTACAGCCGCATTATTAAAAAATGCGTCGCTAAATATGGCGTTTTTATTTGTCGAAATTTTTAGCGAAAATTTGTTTCATCATCCAGCTACACTGAGCTGAATTTGTATTACTACGTTACGGTGGCTGGATAGTGAATCACTACGTCACGGTGCGGAAAAAGTGCAATAGTCCCGAGTCTCGAATTGTGGCCGAGTGATCCACCTAAACGTCACGAATTTCATTGTTTTTTAGCTCACATGGATATTGTGCTTTCAAAGTTACTTAATATACATAAAAAAATAAGAGCTAATAATTTAATATTACATTACTTCAGGATATTTCATAGATATTTAAATATTCCAGTAATATGTTGTAATATGTGCTCAATGTGACAGACAGAGAGGGCACATATTTCATACATTTTGCTTCTTTATAAATACTAACTTTCTGAGCTATGCAATGTGTTGAATGTAAGAGCTATGCTGGACCAACCATGTTATTCATTAGAGTTTTTCATTTTCATATCGCATGCCTAATGTTGTCAATTCCCTGAAATTTAGCAAAGCAAACTGTAATTACATATTATTTCAGCCACAACAATTCCTTATTATTTCTTCCACACCTAGCTTGATAATGACTTTCATATGAAGTTGAAATATTGCTTTGAATCTTCTCTGTTGCTGTTATAACTGGAATCTTGAGTTTACAAGATGATGTTTTTTTTAATTGTTTGCTCTCATTTACAATCATGCACAGTGTGCCAAATTTCTAAATTTACCATAAAACATTATGATCACAAAAGGGTGGGTACACAGCAAAGCATTTCATTTACATAGATTTCATGTTACTGTATTGTCTTTACATGATTATTATTATCTCAAAATTACCCACTATACATAAAGATACTAGATCAACAGTTCTATATTGTAATTCTTTAACATATTTCATTGTATATTACATCACCATATTTTATTATTGCATATGTGCATATGTGTATCCTGAGCCTTATGTATAAAAGTCCTCACCATTGCTATTTGATTAGAGCTAGGAGGGCACATAGTATTAGCTATTAGGTACGTATTTATATTCCCCTTGAAAGCTGGTCTCATGACTTTGGTTGGGAAAGTATAGCACTGGCATTATCATGCTTAGATTTAATTATCTAAAAAAATATCTATGGATTATTAAAGGCAATCCAAAAAATTACACTTTAAGGCTTGATGAATGTTCCCCTAAAAGGCTTTTCTTTATCAACATAGAGTCAATAGTGATTTTATTCGATAGACTTTGTAATTTTTATTGCTTGTGTAAAACTAGAGGTGATGGTAACTGCATGAACATTTCTTTGCTATATCTACGTATCTTTTTCTGCTGTTTGAGGCGTGATATTATCAATGAAAGAAGAATAACATTTATCATTACTTGTTGCCTGCCTTTGGTACGATGATTACATCGTGAACATTTCTTTGCTATGTCTACGTATGTTTTTCTCCTGTTGGAAGAGTGATATTATCAATGAAAGAAGAATAACATTTATCATTACTTGTTGCCTGCCTTTGGTACGATGATTACATCGTGAACATTTCTTTGCTATGTCTACGTATCTTTTTCTGCTGTTGGAATAGTGATATTATCAATGAAAGAAGAAGAATAACATTTATCATTACTTGTTGCCTGCCTTTGGTACGATGATTACATCGTGAACATTTCTTTGCTATGTCTACGTATGTTTTTCTCCTGTTGGAAGAGTGATATTATCAATGAAAGAAGAAGAATAACATTTATCATTACTTGTTGCCTGCCTTTGGTACGATGATTACATCGTGAACATTTCTTTGCTATGTCTACGTATCTTTTTCTGCTGTTGGAATAGTGATATTATCAATGAAAGAAGAAGAATAACATTTATCATTACTTGTTGCCTGCCTTTGGTACGATGATTACATCGTGAACATTTCTTTGCTATGTCTACGTATGTTTTTCTCCTGTTGGAAGAGTGATATTATCAATGAAAGAAGAAGAATAACATTTATCATTACTTGTTGCCTGCCTTTGGTACGATGATTACATCGTGAACATTTCTTTGCTATGTCTACGTATCTTTTTCTGCTGTTGGAATAGTGATATTATCAATGAAAGAAGAAGAATAACATTTATCATTACTTGTTGCCTGCCTTTGGTACGATGATTACATCGTGAACATTTCTTTGCTATATCTACGTATCTTTTTCTGTTGTTGGACGAGTGGTATTATCAATGAAAGAAGAAGAATAACATTTATCATTACTTGTTGCCTGTCTTTGGTACGATGATTACATCGTGAACATTTCTTTGCTATATCTACGTATCTTTTTCTGTTGTTGGACGAGTGATATTATCAATGAAAGAAGAAAAATAACATTTATCATTACTTGTTGCCTGCCTTTGGTACGATGATTACATCGTGAACATTTCTTTGCTATATCTACGTATCTTTTTCTGCTGTGGGACGAGTGGTATTAAGTGTGATTAATGGTTAAAAACTTGTGCTTCATTTGTGAGATATAAAAGGTTTCTTTGCGTTTCACGACAAAAAATATGCCAAGCTTCTGCCTTTTTAAAATCACTCGTGGATTGGAATGATACCTTACTGATTGTAAGTTTTGGCGAAAGTATGAAACTTGATAAATCTCATAATGGTAATGAAGATGTTAAAAGTTTAGTGGAATTTTAGATTTTATATCATTGAAATTTGCGAAAAGTTTACAAACTAAGTAAAGCCAAGTTTTTTTAAATTCTTTTGTCAAAACGCAGGAAATCACATTTCCGATGGTTTAAAATATAAAAATTTCCGGGGGGCATCCTCCCAGACCCCCTACAGAGCTAGCGCTTTTGGCGCTCGCAGTGGTGCATCAGTCACGAAAATTGCTGGATCCGCCCCTGAATACATGCCTGCTTTAGACAAGTGGAAAAAAAAGATTTCTGATTCAGCAATCAACTGTAGCACCATTCATAAACTCATACAACACGTACATCGTTTTTTGTTGACTCTCCAGTTTCTACATAATGCCACTTATAAGCACATATTGTCAATCTCAGATAATTTTCTTATCTTTCTACATTTTGAAATACAAATCATTTTAAAGTACAAATCAAACGAATAATTGCAACTTTATCCACAACACTGACCATAATGCATCGCAGACGCATAAATGTTTCCAGTTTTCTCCAGGCACCTTAGTGCCTCAGATCATAACATACCAGGTCGTACCAGAAATTTCGATGTTTCTTTTTATATAGAATTCTCACAAACATCTTTTGTTAAGCAAACTTTTTAGAACATCCGGTCATAGTGTTACAAGTACAACTGTCTTTCGCTACGTCTTTCTGTTTCTTCCGTGGATAATCGTAATAAGTCGCGATGCTTTCTCGTCAAAAGTTGATCAAGTGCTGTTATTTCGTTGCATTTATGGTAAGTTATAGGAAAGTAGTTTATTATAAGACATTCATTTACTAATTTTTCATTTTCTACGATATGTAAATTGATTGTGGTCGCGTTTCAGAATTATTCGGCAATTGAAACGAAACGGGGGATAAAGCTAGTCTCGTTTATGAGAATGTATTATATATTTTCTTTTTTAAAGGATTTGTTCGCAGTTGGTATGTTGCCACCATTGTTCAACCGTCGTGGTCGTGAACTTGAAGGGTCTCCTTCGATGATTGATCTCGTAGGTTAGAAACAGCCTTCTGTTGTATTTTATGGCCTTTTCTTCATCTACCAAACAATTTTCTTGTAAAATTTTACATTTGGTTACGTTCCAGGATCCATTTATGGCTGTTTACAGTTCTTGTCAAGCCCAATAATGGTATTTATATATTTATATACATAAAATTACATTTGGTAGTAAATATAGAATACTCTGCCACATACTAAACTACCTGCATGCCTGATCTGAATGCTAATCCTTCCCTTCTCATCACTGAGCTTGATTGTTGTGTGCAATCTTTGTGCCAATGTATTCTATACATGTTTGTAAATGTAGATTGTTCAGGTTGTATAGTCCTGAGAAGGACTGTTTTTGTTGTTGTTGACTGATGTTTCGACAACCTTAGCGGTAGTCAACTTCAGAGTTAATCTTTTGATCGTCGATCGTTATACCAACCTAGATGATCTACATTTACAAACATATATAAGGCAAGGCAAGTGATGTTTGGAGTCGGAAATCGGTCTTGCTTCTTAGCTTTATTGGTTGTTTCATTGGAAATTTATACATGGGTTTGGCAAGCACAATTCTCATGTATGCTCTGGCTCGATTACCTACAGGTTTGATAGTTTATAATGTACAGATCTTTGAACTTGTTTCCAAACTAGTTCATATATTAACATCAAAGAAAGTACTCCACCCACTGAACCCAGTTAAAAGAAGCAAATTGTACAATAAATGGACATGAAATTATTTCGAGAATGAGAAGAGAAAATTGTAAAAAATCTTTAGTTTGATTACTTTCTTTTTAATACTTCTTTTTAATGAAGCAATTTCAATAGCAAAATTTTTGTTTTATACGCTTTTAAACTCTATCACTCCAGGCAAAAAGCGTAAACTAAATGGTCACTTTTCTTTATGAAAGTAAGTTTAAAATCACCCAACAATTCTCAAAAAAATTTTTTTACGTCATTCAATATTGCATAACACATCTTATTTTTAAGGCATGCTGTCTCATGTATGTTCATAGTGTATATAGTTTTTAACTTATAATATGTTAAAGTTTTATTTTAGATACATGCTATTCGGCTGTTATGTAGTTCTTATAAAAAGCATCTTATCTACCAATTTTTAACATCTTATAGGCCTTTTAAAACATAGTCAGTCATCAGCAAAAGCTTATTTATCAGACATCAAATTACCTGAAGAAAGATCAGGTGTATTTGGTTGGTTCAATGCATTTGGAAGTTTTGGTTTCATAATCTCGCCCATTATTTGTGCTACTGTTGCTATGCACGATAATGGATACTTCAAGGTTTCACTTTTGAGCTGTAGTGTGTATTTTTCGCTATAATATTTGTGTGGCTTGTCTTAAATAAAATAAAGTAAAGTTGGAAAATAAAATAAAGTAGGAAAACTCCTACATGGATAAAACAGTTGTGGAAGTGTTGGAGGGTGATGAGAAGGTCAATATGAATCTTAACAGACGTAAAAAGTTTAAAATGGAAAGTGACTTGGTTAATGACAAACAGAATGACAAAGAGAAATCATTTTTCTCCAGAATCGTCAATGTTGTTGCTGTTTCATCAACTGTGAGCGTTTTTGACTTGTTGCTGATTCGTATCATTATGGCTTTAGATATGTTAATATATCGCAGTAATTTTACTGCTATGTTGGATTATCGTTATGGTGTAAATGCTAAAACAACAGGCTACATTATATCCTATGGTAGTATTGCTGGAGCAATATCTGGTATGTCATTGGGCTCTATATATAGCTACATACAAAGTGATGTAAATATGATGTCAATTGGTGGAAGTTTGATGATGTCATCTTTTTTGGGATAGCGATGTAACCAAATATTTATACAGTACTCATATGTATGATACTCTTCGTCACCATGACAAAGGCTCTGTTTTACAAATGATAGATTTTTAATATGAATCAGAGGTTTAGAAATAAAAATCGAGACATCCTTAAGTAGTCGTGAGGGTATTCCATCGAGACCTGTACCTTTGTTGTATTTCCAATTTTTCATTAAGTGTTTAAAAACTATGGAGTCTGATACGTGATGCAAAGTAAATTCACAACCAAAATCAAATTTATCTGGAATGGGTTGACTCCAGATGCAATCTTTTATCTTAAAGTATTTTACTTTTGAAAAACATGCAATTGTTGAAAAAATATCAGCAAACTCACTAACAATCGGGTGTTTATGGCCTGTCGTTTTTCCTTTATTTGAAATGATGTACAGGTACTTGTATTGGGGTTCTTTGACCGCATTTCTTCTCCTTTCAACCATCAACTGAAATCTGCTGAAAACTCCTACTTTAAAAATCTACTTGATGAGAATGCGTCATCTACGGAGAATTTCTGTACGTGCATCAAACAATTGTTTCCATCAAAGAACCCCAATCCAAGTATCTGTACAAAGTGTACATTGTTTAAAATAAACTTAATATAACAAGAAGAAGAAATAGGTAGCAAAGTCCTTTTGACACAAGTGTGTCTTGTTAAAATTTTGCACGCAATACTATAACTGAAACAAAAGAAACATCAACACAAAATGTGCTCTGTTAATGTGACGCTGTTGTGATAGCAAGATAAACATCGTACTAGATACAGAAATTAATAATCATTAATAGCATTCTGCGCTTTTTACTGACACATAAGTTAAAAATTTTAATGAAATATATACGTTTGCGGTTTAATAAAAAACATCGAAGGAATTCTTCCTATTTTTTTGCAAAATTGAAGTTTTTTTTGCCAGTGTTGCATAGGAAAAGAAAGCTCACAAAATGTGTCTTACTTTACAACTATACAACAACATTTTATGTTTGTTTTCAAAATATTACAAACGTTACAAGAAACTAAACTGAAGCCAGCTCGATTTTATTCATGCATTTAAAATATTTATATAGCTTTTTAAAAAACTTGCATTGTGTAGTTTCTAGTGAAAATTCGGCAGTCGAACTCTGTTACTCTGTATTGCTTTGTTACTCTCTATCGCTTCAGCATAGCCTCGTAAGGCACCCAAATTCATCCAAAAAACAGTATTTGCTTTTTTGTTTTTATTCTTTACCAGTATGAACAAGTACTCAATGATTTATTTTAGATTTCAATCACTCAGGAGATATCTATTACTGCTTTTAATATGAATTGCGGTCTACTATGTAATATGCTATAGATAGCTATATAATTAAATGAAATATAATTAAAAATTAGAAGATGTTTTAGCTACAATCAAACATCATTCGCACATTCATGGAAACAGCCACAGTTCTCTTCACCAAATAAATTTTCCAATGCAATATCTAGTTTGAAGCATAAGGCGTACTCATACTCAGGGTCGCAGATCTTTTCGTAATAATACGCACCAACACCATAACAAAAAGGAATTCTTTTACCATCTTCATCATGGAAAAATACCAGCACACCTGACTCACCCCTTTCAAGGAAAGTTTCATTGCACTGCACCAAAACAGCATCATCAATATCAATCTTGTTTTCAGGATCATGACAGGAATAAGAATCATTAACAATTTCTCCTTTCAAACGCCTATTGTCATATTTTTTCACTTCAACTAGCTCACGTGCTATGTTAACTCGTTCGTGCAGCTCCTCCCATACACTATTCCAAGTTGGGTTTTGTATTCCTTTTCGTCTACAATCCACTGTTTTGACAACATATCCATGGACTTCTATTGACAAAATGTCCGTATTCTTTTCTAAATTATAGCTGTTGAAATGCCCTAATGGACTTGTAGGCGATGTGTAGTGGTATTGATTTGAATTTAAATGTAATCTGAAATTATTTGGGTCATTTCTGTTCTGATTTAGCATTTCATATAATGTTTCATCACCATCTCCGTTGTAACAAACGTGACAACATGTCAACGCGTAATGTTTCCCGTTGTGACAACAGAACATTGTTAATGTGCCTCTTGAAACTTTCCCATTGTTACTTCCTACTTCAATATTTGATAGCAGTTGAAGCTTCGGTCTCGTTAATGGTTTCGGACGAAATTCAAAATACCTCAAAGCATAAGGTTCAAAATTCTTATTTATTTCATTTTTCAATAATTCTTCATTAAAATCTCCATTCTCATAATCAACTGTGATAAACAAATGTAAATATGGTATTTTCTCGTTTGGACCGACTTTTCCATACTCTCCCCGCATCCAAGGTAAACTGTAAAATAAAAAAGTGAAATGTTCAGCAAATAGCAATCATGTATGTGTAATCGAATTGTAAAAGTGAACATTGGGGGAGGGAGAGAACGTAATCAATTCTTGTTGATCGTACTTGTGTTAAATTTTACGGTAAAATACGTAATATTATTGATAACATGGCTGCGTCGAGATCTTCAGTTATCACAGGGACAGCTACTGATGTATTATCCCCTTAAACATACGATGAGGGACGTTTAGACTAAATATCCCCCATCAATATTAAAGCCAGTGATCCTTGTTTCCACATTTTATTCTCATTGCCTGTAGAATATATGCTGCTCCGCATTTTACGTCGTTGAGTGGTAACAGATGCTTGTCTTTTCTTTGCATTGGCAACTTCCTTGTCACTTATTTATGAAAACCGGTGATAAACCATAAACTACTTTGCTGGACAAAAATTAAAAACTGCTACAGAAGATTTAGTTTCAAGTTGTTTATCGAGGCTATGATTGAATTCATCCTTATGTATCAACTGTAGTCTTTTTAGACTTAAATAACTGTAGAGAAAAGTTCACCTTTTGAGCTTCATACGCACATCTTTTCGAATGGCAAATCTTTTATCAAGAAACATTTCTTCAAATAAACGATCATCATTGGATTTATGACGAGAGTACTTCTTTGACGTACTATAACCAGGGTTAACATCGATGGAATTTTCTTCGTTATAATCGTCTTTAAAACTGGCATTGTGATCAGGAAGACCTTAAAAAACATAATATATAACTTAAAATAATTAAAGTACTGAATTTGTAAACATATTCGTTGGTTCTGGCGAACCATGGTACGGATTGCTCAATTGACAATCTGAACAAACGTACATCAACACATGCTTTATGTACAACACAATTTAACAAAAGATGGAGTCGCATGATCTTGCCCACGAAGTCACAAAATACATTGTGACGCAACGACGCTTTATCTATTCCTTTATCTCTTTGAGTTCTTACAAAATATAAGATTTGTTACCAGATCGTCACCGTTTTAACGTGTCGAAGCGTATTGTTTCTTATCTTTGTTACAAAACATTGCGAAAGTACCTTTTGCCTTTGTTTCACATTCATCTTCAATATTCCCTCTCGTGGGATTTGGATCTTTCTCCCTTTTTATGACTTCTATGTCTGGTGACCAACGAAATTTCGATTTCTCTAGTGGCTCCGGTACAAATTCAAAGTATTGAGAAGCTTTCCATCCAAAAGTTTCATCAATTTCTTTTCTTAATGCTTCTTCGTCATTTTGTGTTTCTGCTGCTACAGTCACAAACAAAGAAAGACGAGGTTTCCACCGTACACCATATCCACCACAAATCCAAGAAAAACTATAAAACATTATTTTAAAAGTCAAAAAAATATTGAAAACAATTAATCTTAATACATAATCCACCATGTTAAAAGAATATTAATTTCATATTCATGATACAATAACTCAAAGTAGTGTCGTTCAGAGGTTACTATAGCGTTGGACAATTTTGGTACTGATATTATAGCAGTAAACTTAATTCAACAAGTCGCTTATAGAGACTCTGTATAATAAACAGAGTATCTTTACCGCTTAATTTGGTACGTCTTTTGTACAGCTAATAATTTTTAAAAATGCAAAATGTTTTACCAGTGAAAATACCGTTGTTAAAAGTCCTTCAACACAGGCTTTGTGCACGAAAAATTTATCGGAGAACAATTTAATCACCTTGAGTACAAATATTGACTGTTTAGCACAAACTATCAAAATTTTAAGCAATTTGGGACAAGCGCTGGCCATCGCGAGTTCTTTACAACATTTCCTCGACTGTTTTTCAGTTTTTCAACCTATTTTCATTCATATTTATGAGTTCAAAGCCAAAAAAATTCAAAATATTTACAGGGGAAGATATTCGGTGGGTTTGGGGGTTAGCAATCATATATGTGTAATCGAATTGTAAATAGTGAATATCGAATGGAGGGGGGGAGAGTGATCAACTCTTAATTTTAAGTTAAAATACGTAATATTATTAGTAACATGGTTCCTCGAGATCTTCTGTTATCACAGGGACAGCTACTGATGTAATATATTATCATATCAAACATCATCCGAAATCCACATGACAATACAAGCTTTTTGCCGAGGATTAAGAGACTATATATACATACAATATGTAGACTAACGAATCCAAAAAGGTCAATTTACAATATGAGTTCAATAAAAACCGCTACTATTTAGTCTAAAACATTAAAGTAAAACCCGTCAATAGTTAATTGCTTACGAAATTAATATGTTAATCTAGGGTTAAGAAATTTAATGTACCTAGCGAGTAGTGTTAAAGTTAATCCTTGTTTTAACACTAACCGAAGTTTGAGAAATGCAAATTAAACCAAGATAAACCTACTTGTCTATCAAGTGGTAGTGAGTTTTTCGAGTTTGCAAAGTTTTTGTTTTCAATAACAACCGATGATGTCATCAACAATAAAACTTAAATTTCTGCTTAGTGTGCGCACTTATCTTAACGAAATATTAAATTTAGAGGAAGTGTAAAAACGATTTCTCGAGACTTACCTGTTTAATTTGTCAAGAATCTCATCTCGAATAACGTTATGTTCGTCAAGAAAATTTTTAATAAAGAAATCATCATTGTTCTTTACAT